TTAATTATAATTTTTAATTTTTTAAATTACGTTTTTTACTCTTCACGCTTGGTGAATTTTAAATTAAAGCATATGCCCTTTATAATTTTATTCACATGCGCTGATGTTGGAATCAGGTTTCAGGCGTTCTTCATGTCAAGTCTGATTTGTTAATATTATGTAATCATTGTATCCGCGTTGGTGGAAGTTATATTACTCTGCCCAGTTTTAGTTTTTATCATTTTGATAATTTTGTTCACATGTGCTGATGTTAAAGTTACGTTTCAGGATTCCTGTGACCTGTCATATGAATGATAAAGGGCATATGCTTGAAGCAGCACAAAATGTAAGCAGCTTGAATGACATGCATGGTAACAGAGTAATTTTTCACTATAAAATGTTCCAAATAACCATATATTCTTCAGTGAAGTTGCATCCTTACTGAACAACTTACAATAAATCCCGCAGAATGTTGGAAGCCTCACCCATAACGAACTAATAACGAAAGCACTAGCAGGCTAGTCAGTTCGGGCATAAACCTAAATTTGAGTTCCTCTCCTCGCATTATCTCTTATCAAAAGATTAAACATGTAGTTTCAGGTTCCTAAGATACTTGCAATTATGGAAGTAGAAACCATGTTGGTAAACCTATGATGTGTCCTTAACTTTTGATTCTAAGGACCTGTTTTACCAGGAAGGAACTAAACATTTCTTCTTTTTTTATGGGTTCTAGATGTTTGCTATTGATTTACCAGATCAACACTACATAGCATAATTTATGATATCTGAACTTTATTCTGCATTGATCTATTGTTTATGAGGTATTCGTGTCTGAAATATATATGTTAAAGCAATTACATGTCTAGAAAATTTCTTTGGTCAGATTGATGCACATTTCCACTAAACATGTCCTGGATTTTGTTCTGGTTTCCTTTTTCTCAAGCTTTGTTGCAACTGCCATGGCAATTACGCAAGACCATTCAACTAGTAATTCAGGTAACCCCGTTGCAACAGTTGTGGTAATTGAGGTGTTTGCCTCATATATTAAATTATGTTTTCTGCTCTTCACACATGCTGAGATATGAATTTAAGCTGGTCTAATAAGGCTAAGCGCATCTTGAAACTATTAAGCCTTATCTTCACTGA